ACTGAAACCTACTTTTTTTTCTCCTGTTCCTCTTTCCATTTGCCTCGTAACTTGTGGTGCGACGTATACGCGGATGATATCCCGAGGGGTATGTCTTCCCTTTCTGTATTTCTCTTGGGGTGCTGTCGTAGCGAGCGCATAATTGTAGTTTCCCTTCGCCTCGAATCAAGAAACGTTAGTACCGTATGCTCGAAACTTTCTTTAAAATGGGTGTTAACTGGTTTACCACAATTTTTAATTTCTCTTTGGTAAATCCTATTTACTCTATTAAACAGAACCGCATTTTGCAAGGGACCACCTTCTAAACCTTCCACTCGCCGAACCTGTCGTCTCGCTTTGGGTCTGTATGACCCAGAAATTTTGAAGTGTTTGTAAATGAGGTGGTAGCAATGTAGGTCACCACAATTTTCAACTCTGTACAGTAGTGATAGCTATGAAAACTTTTGTAAAGTACTTGTAATGTTTACAACATTTCCAAACAACTACTAGTAATTTTGGTTAGAGTTCTCCTACGTAATTAATGCCCGTTGTTAGAGGTACAGTGAAAAGTTCGGACGTATACGCCTCCATTCAACAATGATTTACAACTACTCATTCAGCGATTATCAGAGAAGCGAAAGGAATAGATTATTTTGTAATAATTACACTTTTAAGACGTTAATGATAATTTAAATGATATGGGTCTATAATCATTATATTGTAAAAATAAATGAATAAACTGAATTTTGCTTCCAACTATTACTGGCTTATATTATTACTTCAACAATTAACGGTTCTTGATTTTCTAAAAAAAATTTCCTACATTTATTTTTTAAAGCTATTTTAAAATTTTGTAAGTTAAAAATTTAAAATTTACATCCCCCAAATGTAAAGTATGAGTCGCATAAAGCATTGCAAGCTGTTTCCTTTTAAAGTAATAGGGATAGTGACAAATTTTTTTTTTTACGTTATGAATGCAAGAGGGTCTTTCATGCAATATGTAAGATACTACTATCGCTTCCCCGAGAGGCACGAGATGGGTCACGTTTCCATTTTTTTAAATAGAACGGCACTTCAATTTTTGCATTTTTTGAAACCTTATTAAAATGCCAACGAGCATTTCTTTGATATATTTTTTCATATTCTTTAGACTTAAAGAAATCTACATAGTCAATTTCATCCAGAGTAGTATAAAATTGATTGAAAATGAAATGAACCTAATCTAACGTAACTGAAATCAACCTAATCCATTTTTTAAATTAAATAATTAATAATTAAATAAACAAAGTAAATGGAAGGTTTTTTCCACCCTTTAGAAACCTTGCAAAATTTTATAACCCTTCCTGTATGTTGAATAGCATGGAAATTTTAAGATTTTGATATTTCATCGCATTCAACATACATTAAATATTAAAACCATTTTTTCAACGAGCGTTGCACCATGCGAACATTGTCCCATGGGCAATCCTTTTCCGCGCATTCGTCGTTATACTTCCGGTATGGTTTGTACTCGCAGCTCTCTTTATTCCTAATCAAGAAACGCCTGTACAGTGTAGCGTTCATGTTCTATGAACTTCCTTCATCCGCGGTGGAAAACTTCGGAAGCGGAAGCAATTAAGAGATATAAAGACCGCTGAAATTGAAATTATTTCGAAAGGATGCATTTAAAGTTAACTGCAACGATGCAGCTAGCTCGTTAATGATGGTACAACGTTTTTGGGAAATTGTAAGAATTTTAATGGTGTAAATAAATGTTGTTTGTTATAATAATAAAACTTTGTTAATATCCCTTAAATACTTCTCTAAAATAAAGACTATTAATAATTTGAAATTATAAAAAAAATATAAATTTCCCACATTTTTTGTTATTCTATTAAAAGTAGTCAAAGGTAGAACTTTTTGGAAACCTATTTATATTGGAAGGTTTAGTATTCAAAGACACACAAGTTTTATATTAAAAACTTTTTTCTTTACAAAGAACCATTTCAGGGATATTCGAACAAATATGGTTTCCAACCCCAACTTCAAGGTCTGTTTTTACCCCTGAAAGTGAATGATGACTGATAAAGAAAACATATATTGAATACTTTTTCAAGTACTACATCATACTAAAATTTCACCAAAACTGACACATGTCAACTTTCACAAAAATTTTCAGCTTCATTTCTTTAAGTGTTATATTATTGACAAATAAAATTTTAAAAAAGCTACCCAACATTTTTTAAAGAATAATACTGATAATATGGAACGTTATCTTTTTACTTCAAAAATAAAACGTCTCATGCATTAAGTTTCTATTAAATTGCAAAATTTATTTATTAATAATAATATGATATTCATTTATTTAATTACCCCTGGAATGATAAACTAAAGATTGTGGTGATATTATTCGTAATTAAATCATGCTTACCCCAAAAAAATGATTACCCGACTTCCCATCCTTCCCCCTAGGCAGCCGCGCGAAGAATGACATTGCAGCGGGAGGCCCCGTCATGCAACTCTGCACCCCCCACCACTTGCGTGTAAACGTTTACGCGGGAAAATTTGAATTGATATTTATTATTCATACTTCTCAGTTATGTTCCAACATTTGTAACATTTAATAATTAAAAATTATATTATTTTTCTTTCTAAAGTATTTTGAATATTAATATTGTTAATATTAACATTTGAAAAACTCATTTTCTTTAGGGAAACCTAATTTAATCGCGAGTGTACGTTCCATAACTGTTAAGTCAGAACACGACAGACGTGCAGAATTTCGCGAAAGTGTTAGGCGATGCAATTTCTTGAAACAATTCCTGAAATATTCTTTTCTCAACCGCGATGGAGTTAATACTTTCATCAGGCGAATCGTCCAAGAACCGCAACGTTACCGTATCATTATAACGAAATATCCCAACCTAGCCGTGCATACTCGGTTCGCGTGTGGAAAATTGTTCGATAGCAGGCTTTTTCGAGGAAAGAAAATGCCACAAAATACTTGGTGAAATATATTGATCTCGACTACTGATAACGTGGCGCTTTAACATCGATTTTACTACGATTAGACATTATTTACGGAGGCTTGCGGTGCCGTAGGATCGTGAATTTATTATAATTTCGCCTGTAAAGGTATACCAGCCAGGAATACCAGCTACTTTACCCTTAAGTTGTTGCATGCACGTAGAGGAAGGACAGTTCCTCGGCCACACTGTCGTGTTGCTCGACCACGCCATAATTTTTCTGCCACGATAAACGACTACTACGTGTCTTTTCATTTTGTACACAATGAGAGGACTGGAAGAATTTTTTCTATCTGTTGAATCTTGGAACAAAAGGATTTTTCAGCAGATTCAGAATCTTATAATTAAAATCAAATCAAATTTAAAAGGAGGCCTAAGAGGCTACAGCCTAAGACCCCACTTTACATGGAAGTCAAAAATATACTGAATGGAATTTTGTTTACGAATTAATTTTATTTAATTTTATTTAAAATAAATTTCAATCTTTGAAACAAATTTATCAAGTAAGGGGGTCGAAGGTTCGATAGCCCTGGGCCCAAAAAATCCTCTTCAACATTATCTAAATAAATTTCAATTCAAATAATTGCTTAATTGAAAATTATTGTTTGTAATGTTCAACTAAAGGACGAAATTAATTATTTATTACATGAATAAATTAAAATAAATTATTCGAAATACTGAGATTGATTGACAAATGCAACTTTAATTAATATTTATTATTTATTGGATATTAAATGATGTTATTTTGTAACTGTTAAATTAATTCTTAATTTCCCTATTGTTCTCATTGTTCTGTTCCAGCCCCTCTCAAATTATACTATGCAGTATCTACAATTTAACAACGAAAAATATGACTAACTAACTTTGAATAGAATATCTCGGTTCTCAAGAAACAAACGGTACGAGGACCACAATCGAATAATACCTTCTAATACTCCAATTGAATACACAGAATCCTGGCAGTGTTCATCGTTTCAAGTTCTGAGCTATGAAGAGCTACTTCAGTAGATTTGATTTCGAACCCGCAGCATGCTACTGCCAATTATTCGGCGTACACATTGTCCCGTTGTGAATCGGTCGAGAGACGGTGGTCGATTACTGTATTCGAAGTAGAGCCGTTATATCAATTTGCATAATGCATCGATTAAATAAACGAGTTGCGGCTTCGTACGATGTCGCGCAGTGCCGTAACCGAGCCGTTGTTACCCGCAAAACAACTATTGACAGTGAAATTCTCCACCCTATTCACGTATATCACGGAACGCGGTTCGAATTAATGGCTTTTCTTATATTTTTGCATCGTACGTGTTCATGGATTTCACGCGCCGGCACGATCGGGGGACCGTAAGTGCTTTATAACGATTATGAGCCTGTCGACAGCGTCATTACCGATGACTGACACCGTGGCGAGTTGTCTTTCGGCATTAATTGGACGCATAATTGCAACGATCCACGCATAGAACGTTTTGACGGCTAACGTTACCGCGTCCCGTTGAATGGAAATTTCGGCGTCGACTGGAAACGGGAACAGGAAACAATTAGCCCGGCAAATAACCGTATTGTTCAGTCGGGGATTTATGAAATTTTCATTTCAAATTCGCTCACTTATTTCTTCTCTACGTTCTGACGTCACGCGAAGAATAATTATCAAATTATTTGAGAGGATAACGCGTTGAATACCGTGTACTTTTTTCGGGAGAAATAGATGAAAATAGATATCAATCAAATACCAATTATGTAGTTTTGTATAAAAATGTTTTCCTATCTGAAATTTCAATTTTTCCAACCAGGTACCACCAGTTAACCAAACTGAACAAGGAAGACGAAACAATTCGTTCTGTGTAATTCAAAAGCCAGGAGAAAATTGCATTTCATCAGAGAGCAAAATGTCGGGAAACGGATGTCGCTGTCGCTTTAAGCGAGGTCCCCTTAATCGCAAATAGAATTACTCTTACGTCTTAATTGAACGTTCCTGCGAGCTCAGTTGTACGGGAATCAGAAGTTTCAATCACTTACTCGGCTCATCGACGTTGCCGAGGAAAACTTCCGCCGCGACAAACCGAGCCATCATGCTCATCAGGAATAGCAACCCCTTCATCCTCGCCGACTGTGTCTGGCTGTGAGCGAATAGACGATTCCTGGCCCTCTCTCTCTCCCCTTCGGATATCCTGTTGGCGGGGTAGCAAGTTGGCCGAGATAGCTGATAAGTTTCAATGAATTTAGTTCTCCGATAGCTTGAAACTCCACTTCCGAACCGATTCTCTACGTCTTCTGGGATTCCGGTCTATCCGACCTGACACGTCGTCGTGTAAACTTCACAACACACTCGACTACTCTATCCTCGACACGAGTAACAGCTGGATCCTCGAGAATAATCCGACGAATAATCACACACCCACAGGTACCGCGCGTTTAACAGACATCGGAGTTCATTGACGAAACGAACGAACGAGAATGCGCCTCCAACCGAGGGTTCTCGTCCTTTTTAAACCGTTTGCCTGAGTCTATAAAGCGTCTTGCACGGTTATTAATGGAGCTACTCGATCGGCTAATCGTATGCACGATCCACGGTCCATTAACGTTTTCCTTCATACACGGCTACACTTTGCGCCTACCCGTCATCGATAATGACGTAACGCAGCTATTTTTCAGGATAAAGTCGTAGGACGTGGAAGTTGGACGCTGGAAATAGACGAACCCCAACACCTAACCGATATCATCAGGGTACGTCGGATGGTATCATCGTACCATGTATCGTCAGAGTCCTTTCATGGTGCACCATAACGCGACGGAGTTATTCATCGATCCCATGGAGTTAAAGTATCACCTTAATCGTCGTCAAGTTTGAAGATATCTCGGATTTTTCATACGCCAGTGAGATTGTTTCATTTTCATTCATTAAACCGAGTGTCTTCCAGCGAAGACAGAGATATCAACTTGTGAATAATCACTTGATTATGAATTATATTTAAATTGGACCAATTTTTGTTCACTGTAGTTGATTGAAAGTTTACTAGGAGCAACAGTTGATACAACTATGTTTCACGAAATGACAAAAGCACACAAACTATCTGGATCACGATTTTAACTTCAACGTCAGACACTTTCAGTTGATGATACACGAATGGAATTTAATGATGGATAATATTGGTTTATTTTAGTTAGAACGAAGAGAAAGAATGTAGAGAGTGAAGATTAGTGAAAATCATTGGGAATATCGATGGGATTCCGACGAAGAAGCGCGCGATCTCTACGGAAAGTAGAAGGCGCGCTCACTGCTGCGTTGCGGCAGGCCTACTGACAGGGGCAACGCAGCTTTCGGTTCAGCTCGGTACGTTTCGTGCGATTTCGCCACCCTCCGGCGGCAGCTTAAAGCATTCTCCGACCACTTTTCATATCCCCTCCACGCCGGTATGTGATCACTACAGACTACCCCCTTGTTCAACCCTTCGACGAACAGACAAATGTTAGAAATTGGTGTGAGAATTCATTATTTGGTAGATTAGCGAGGAACGTTTCGAGGAGCCGATTATCAATTATTTACAATGAATCGGGAAAGTTTTGCTACCCTATCGATTAATGCACGAAGCGTGAAATGATTTCTCGATGAATCATGGATTTTTGAAATCTTAAAACTTCTATGTACAAGCCTACCAATGCTCGTTACTGTACAAAATTCCAATTATGTACCGGAAATAAGCTCTACTGATTTTTCTGAGTTTCATCCCTTTTTGTTAGGCAAACAATGGGGAAGTGACAGAGGCAAATTTCTATGTCCCGAAATGTTGCAATATTTCTGACTGAAAGTTAGCCGTTACTCAAACGAAAAGCGAAAAAAATAAAAGTTTACAGCCAGCAATTGAAAACGGTTCTCCATTTTAATGGAGAACTTTCAAATGAACATTTTCATAAATATGTATCGCAGACTCACACTTTCTCCGCTTTTGTCGCTTCTACGTTTTCCGTCGGAACAAACGAAATAACGTTTTTATCACCTTGGTAATTAAGTTAGCGGAACAGCTGTGATAAACTGGTAAACTTTACTTACTGAATTATGTTAACCGAACACGTCATTCCTATTTTATTTTAAATGAGAAAATATTTACATTGTCACGAACTATTTTATATTAAACTGCCCGGAATGGAGAGTCTACGGTTTATCAGAGTTTTACAACTTCGTAATTTTATAATTTTGCAATTTTACAGTTTTAGAACCCTAAAATCTCAGTATTTTGAAATTTTGCAATTTTCAAATCTTGATACCTTAGAATCTTAGAATAGGGGAGGGTGCATATTTAATTTAGATGCAAATAACAATTTAAATTCCGACTCGAAAACTTGATCGCGTTAACTAAGAACTTAAAAGGATCGGGAAGGACTTCTTATTCCCGATTATAATCTCTTGAATCGGTTACAAAGGGATTCGTTGAATAAGATAGGAAATGCCACGTTCGTCATAGTTACAACGAGGTTACTAAAAGCTCGGAAAAGTAGACAATGGGATGCCCGCAAAAGAAGTTTATTGCTTCCGCAATAAGTTCCTGGAGCAGGGCCTAAGAAAGGGGTTAAGTTCAAAATACACATTTACAATGCTCGAAATTCTCAATTGTCTTCGTGAATTAATGCGATGATGGCTGATTTTTCAACGAACCATCGTAATTACCATTTTGGATGCAAAATGGTATCTATTTGACCAATAATGCAACCATAATTGTCCAATAGAAGAGACGGGGATTAAATTAAAATTAGGGCTCTCTACATGGTCCGCCGTTCGAGAGTTAATACGGAAGATGAATCTACTGGACCTTATGACCCTCCACCCCTTCACCCTAATTGTACTACTGTAGTAGACTGATTTGGCTTTGGATCTCTACTTCAGAATTTCAAAATTTGTTTCTTCTTTATCCATGAATCGAAGAAAAGACTGTTATTATGAACTGAAAATGGCTATTTACTAGCCAAGGCAATCATAAACTCATCTTGCTCCATAACAATGCTCGTTCGCATGCAACAAAGGCAACAAAGGATATCATTTTCTCCTTGGAAGTTCCTCCTTGTATGGCTTATATGTCAGACATGACCCCTTGAAATTGTCATTTGTTTAAATCTCTAGAATATCATCCAGTAGATACATATGATTCTAATCAATCGATAACGTTCAGAAACCCCTCCGAAAAATAGCGAATAGTAATTAATAATAGCGATGATTATATATTTTCAATCTTCTTGAACGAAATTTTGATTTTACCCCCAAGTAATATAGGATAAATTATATTTGCCACAAAATTAATAATGAATACATTTATCAATTTTAATACTTATAAACAAGAATCGAAGAACGAATTTAATTAATACCGAAGATTCTACTTTAATTTCCCTCTGTTCATTTCTATAGCAAATATTTAACAGGACTGCTTGATTCGTTTGTTCTTCGACAAGCACGGCACCCGGTAAATATCTGTCTTTTATAAATATTTATTAAGGTTCTTCATTTATATTGCGCGAGAACGATGTTCGAAATACTTAAGGGAAACTCGTCGAAATAAATTAATAATTAAATCAATCGGAGCTGGAAGTTTGCATAACAAAACTTACCAGATTCTTCGAAACTCTTTTCATAAATCTCAAAGCGTCGTAGAATTACATTGATGTAGTTTATCTCGTTAAAAATAATCAAATATTCTACAACCCCGGCTTATTTATTGAAATTAATATTAAAAATTATTTCTTCTATTCCCTTAAAATGTAAAAATCAATTTAACATGTTAAGCTTTTCTCGAATAGTTCATATCTTTGATATTAGAAATCAATTATACGGTACATTCATTAGCACTTTAGCATGAATCAAGGTGGCCCACAGACTGCATTCAATTTTGGCTAAAAGTTAAGCAACGGGGGTACGAAACTTTTCATTCGCTTTCCATTTAAACGATTGCCATAATTGAATCACTCTACTCGCAAACTCTCGTTAGGAACGTTTTATTGGGTGTTCCAATTTTAAGAAAGTTATACCACGATATCGAAGTCTTCGATTACTTTGATAGGCTTCACGGTTCGGTTATAAGTTATTAAGAGTGTATACCGTCAATTAAATTTTCACGGTGGTTGCAAATAAAAAAATATAGTATTGCAAAAGTTCTTCATTTTATATAAGAAAATTTTTGTTTAATACTTACTACACGCAAATAAAAAAATATACAATTCATTTTAATTTATAATTTGAATAATTAATATTTTTCTCGTTATATAAAATCATTCTGAAACTACTTTATTAAAAACCAATAAAACAAAAAAGAAACGGTATGACTGCATGACAGTATTTAAAAATTCTAACCATAAATTTTAACCTTGAAATGCCAGCAAGACAGTGAATTATTGGCTTTATAAAAATGTGAAAATTTTCAGAATAATACAAAATTCATTAGATAAGAAGAAAATTTGATGTGTTATTTTAAAATTTATGTTAACCATGTACTGAATGTTTTCTTTTTGTTGTTAATTTCAAGGTACGCTATTTAAGAACAATCTCTTCATTTTATTCATTTAATTGTACGTTCGTTTAATTATTTATAGGTGGGTCTGGTTCCCTCGCACGTATAAATATCTGTTACAGATTGTAAAATGATAAAGAAATTTCAGAAGAGAAAGTTACACTCTTTAAGATACCAAATGTAACTTTATACAAAAGGAACAATTATCAAAACCGTCGCCTAATTAATTCCTACGAATTAAGCCAAGATCCTTATTCCATTGACGAAATTAAAATTCCAAAATTCAACAATGACCGAGGAGGGATATCTAGACAATTGCCTATCGATTGCCGAGGATGACGACTACAAAGAGAAGACGAGATTAGCGGAAGTCACAGCCACCACATTGTGCAGGCTGAATGGCATAATGAAGCGAATGCGGGGGTGGCGCGACGACCGTGTCAAGCTTACCTCCAACATTTGGCGGTTGAAGCTCGCCCTCCACGTAGCTAGCAAAGAAACAAACGATACCCTGCACGCTGACCCATTGATCGAGCATCAAAGAGCGGAAATCAAACGGCTCGAGGCTGATAATCAATCTCTAAAGCAGGAAATCGCCGACATTAAATTTTCCACCGTCAACTCGGATTCTTTTACCAACGAAAATCAAGAGTACCTAGTCGAACGAGAATACTTAAACAACGAGATCCAATACTTAAAAAGTCGACTGAAAGAGGTCGAAGACGGACACGAACACAATTCCGAAGTGGAGCATCTAAAATGCCAATTGAAGCATTTCATGATGGTGGATCATACCATGGAAATAATATTCACGGATATAGTTAACAAAATCGCAGAGACTATCGCTAATTTATCCGAGGAATTAGTGAACTTGAACGATCATTTACACAGATCAAAATTAAAAAATGATCATTTGTATGTTAAGATCGATCGATTAAAGGCGATGTTGCGCTCTAAAAGTGGTAGTATTTTAGACTATCAAAAAAGGATCACAGAATTGAATGATCTGACGGAATGTATAAAAAGAGAATTAGGTAAATTCAAAGACAGTTCAAGTATAGATTCATTTGGTAAAATTAATCTGGATAATATCGAAAGATTGGCGATTGGATTGAAAAATAAATTAAGAAACGATTATGAAGCTCTGCTAGGTGCAGGTGATTTGGACTGTCTGAAATATATTCAAAAAATCATTGAGCTTAGGATCAATTTAAGAGAATTTCACATGGAATTGAAGTCCAAAGAAAATCTATCGAACTGCTCGAAATTCAATCCGAAACAGTTATCTAATATTGAATCTATTTTAAAAGAGATCAACATGGAGATTGGTAAATTGAAGCAGGAGCACGTGAAGAAAAATTGTCGAACGGTGGAGTTCGAGGGTGTGCAATATTTAAGGAAAATCGATGATCTCCGTGTGATCATAGAAAAGGTTAGAATAACGATAAGCGAATTCGATGGTTCAAACGAGGACGAGGAGATAGAGAAATTGGATGATTTCGTCGGTCGAGTATGCAAGGAGATCAAGGAATTGGAAGTAATCGTCGTATCTAACGATCGTTCCGTATTGCTAAAAACGATAGAACGTTTGGAAAATTCTCTGGTCGAATTAAAAGTGAAATCGAGGGAGAAAGACCAACACCTTGACGCCTTGTCAGCGGAATTATTTAACATGGAAGAATTGCTTAAGGAGGAGGAGCGAGAGGTCGATTTGTTAACAGAAAAAAATAAAGCTTTGGAAGAGAAAGCATTTGATGTTCAACGCGAACAGGAGTGCACCAGGATGGAGCTGGAACAACTGCAACAGGTGAATCAGGACATAAATGTAACAAGAAAGAAGTTGCAAAACGTAGCTGCTGAAAATGAGATTTTGCACGATACTCTGGAGAAAAGGAACCAAGAGATGAACGTCATCGTTGTTGAAAAAGTTTCTCTGGAAAGGGAATTGAAGACAAAGATTGCTGAACTAACGAGGATCCACGAGGAGAACGAAAGGTTGCAAAACAGAGTGAAGGAATTCGAGGAGTCTAATAATTTTACAAACTTCACCAGAGCTGGTGAATCATCGAGGTCCAAGGAAGCTCTGGATATCGCAAATCGTGAAATATTTCATTTACAAATTCAATTGGAGGGATTGTTCGGTGAAAAATCTAAATTGGAAACAAATATCTGTCAATTGGAATCGAAGAACGAGATATTAGTGTACGAACTTGGGGTCGAGAAGAGCATCGGTGAAGAAAGGCTGATCGAATTGACGAAATTAAAATCTGACTATAATAAATTGGACATCGAACGAATGCATTTGAAAAATGAAAAAGAACGATTGAACACCGAACTGATAAATTTGACTGATAGAAAGGAGCAATTGGATGAGAAATGTTTGAAACTCGAGGACGATATCGATAAATATAGATCCGAGTGCGGTGTTCTACGGGAGGAGGGTAGGAACTTTGGAATAGTTAAAGAAAATCTGTCGGCCAAGTTTGCGGAGGCTGAGGATAAAATAAGACGTTTGGAATTCGAAAATTCCAAGCTCGGGGACGGTTCGAACGACTTAAGTTTGAAGAATATCAGCCTCGAGGAACGTGTGCGAGTGCTCCTGACGGAAAAGAATGACCTCGTGACGCGTATTAATGAACTGGATGGAAAGAACGTCGCGTTGAAAGATCAGTTGAATAAAGTTAAAACGGAGAACGAATATTCCTCCGTCGAATTGAATAAATTGAGAACGGAGTGTGACAGAGCGAGATCGGCCAACGCCTCGCTTCAAAATACGCTCGACGATTCGGCTCGGAACAACCAAGCGCTGAAGAAAATCAACGACGAGTTGAAAATAAAATTGAACGAGATCTTCAGCGAGTGCAGGATACTCGAGAATCAGCTGAGGATATTAGAGATCGAAAGTTCAGCGTTGAAGAACGAAAAGGACGCATTGCAGCAACGCGTGAACAATCTTCAGTTGAAAATTTCGAAAATGAGAAACAACGGCTCGAAAGAACGGAAATTAATCAAAAAGATTGATAATGAGACTAATAAGATTAATAAGAAATCCGACAAACGGGTATATTCTAAAATAAAATTGAAAGAAGAGAAGAAGCTGCTGACGGTAGAGAACGAAACGCTGAAATTTGAAGTATTCAATTTGAAAGAGCAAAATTTTCATATTAAGATGGAAATGACTCGTTTGAAAGACGAATTAAAGAAACAGAAAATTCTAATTGGTACGAATGAATCCGAACAGTCGAATAAATTGGAAATTGTTAATCTTTATTATAAAGAGATCAACAGTTATTCGAGCCGTAATATCGAAAATATTGGCACGCTCGCGTGTATAAATCAGTCGGACATATGTCCTTTGGATATTCAATCCGAAACAGAGATCGAAAGATTGCTGGAAGTCATAAATAAATTGAAGATCGAGAACTGTGCACTGAAGATGGAGGTAAACACTTTGAGATGTAACTTCCTGGTAAACGCGACGGAGGACGAAAAACGTTGGAGCGAAGTTCGAAATACACGGGAAGAAATTCGAGCTTTGAAGGTGGAATTGACGAAACTGAGGGAGGAGAAGGAGTCGTTACAGAATCGACTCGATACAGTTCGAACGAAATTGGATCAGTCGGAATCTGAGAAGGCCGCTTTGAAGAACGAGCTTTATGCCTTAAGGAAAAGGAATTCCGAGCTTATACGCAGAGCGAACGAATTACAGGGCGATTATCAGAAGGTGAAGAGAATTAGCGAAGGATTTGACAGCTACGTAATGGGTGCCATTGAAAAGATTAAAAAATATACCGGCAGAGCTGGTAAATTCGAAAAGATAGACGAAGAACTGAAGATTTTCTTGGAGAAGTATGTTTTAAATGAACAATTTTTACATTTGATACACGAATGGGAAGTGAACGCGGAAGATACTTAGAATAAATTTATTATATTTGCATAACAAAATGAATTATACTATTTTCAGTGATTTTGGTTTTATTAATATTAAAAGTAATTTAGAAATAAATAGTGTAATCTTTCATTATTAATGTGAATAATGGAGTTAATATTTGGATACTGTACGATTACCAAACCGTAAATACATTAAAATTGTTATAAATTAAAATTTTTTTCTTGATTAATTCTTATTAAAATATTACCTTCCCTGTACTAATAGTTGAGAATCACTGCTATATACTATTAAAATATGAACGAATTACGTGACTCAATAAAATAGACGGTCTGACGTTAAATCAGATTATTGATCTTCATTAATAACCACAACAGTGTGGTAGTAAAAGCATGACTGCCGCAGTGAAATACATCATTCCAACCTCATATTTTAGTTGAATATTTAATGTTTTACCTGCTGTACGAGAACAGTTTTGCGCTTAGGTGCGATGAACTGTTCGTAATTAGTTGATAATCATAATTTACTTACATCGGTGATTCGATTACGTGGATAGAAAATAATTAGATTCGCGTAACCTGTAAGCTATGATCTAGCAAACAGATTGGACGATTATAAAAGAATCCAAGAAGGGTCTTATAATTGATAAGGTATTGAATCTTCATATTTTAATCAAGGTAGAAAAACTAATTAATGTATATTCAATTCTTTTATAAAAATTATTAAATTTATTACTCGTTATTATTTTACCATCTGACAAAGATGCAACTAAACCCGTAGATCGTTTAATTAGAAATTATATTAGAAAATTATTTAGAAAATGGACGAAGATGCATTGTCAATTTGTCGATGCGGATGCAACACACCGTCCTCCCAAGAATCGATCAACCCCCCGAACGAACCTTGCTGTTGCTGCATTTACAACCCCTTCGATGACGATACCAAGGAAACAGAGATATACGACCTTTCATTTGCTCTAAGGAAGCTCACCGTAATGAAGTGTCAAATGAAGAAGTGGCGAATGGAAAGGCTTCAGTTGGAGAGTGAAAATAGGTCTCTGAAAAAAGCCCTCCAGTCATTCGGTACCGATGTATGATACTTCTTACCCTTTTGTCGCTTTCCCTGTCAATTCCCAGCGAACCAATTAACCCCTTCACGAGTTAATTTAATTAAGTTCTCTTAAGCGCCTGTAAGTGATCTGGATATAAACCAATATTAATTTTAATTATACAATGGACGTTCATTGATCTGCCATTCCTACAAATTTTCCACTTTTACGGTCTAAATAATTTTTTATCTTATTTTTGAAATTTGCAACCGAGCATTAGTAGCGAATTTATTTCCAGGTGTAAATGCGGATGAAATATTGAAGCCTGATCCTCTGCTAGTGCATTCCCGTGAAGAAATCGAAAGGTTACAAAATGCTAATGCCGTGCTTGACGATAAAGTCAGAGATCTAGAGGAGACTCTCGCTGAGCGAGATTGCTGCGACGATCCTTACGCGTCGGTTCACTGCCTCAGAGAGAAGATGAGATATTTGAGGGAACGTTTCGCTCTCGAGAAAAAAGAGTACTGGTCCCAGGTTTTATTCTGCTGTTAAACGTAAACGATTTAACCGATGAATGTTGTCATTTCAATACACTTTGTCTCGTTTTAACAGACTCAGAAACATGATATCGTATTTGAGATTAAAACTGGCGGAAACCGAGGAGGACGTCAGCTGTCCCGCCATATATCGTCTGAGAGCGAAACTTCGTGAATTAATGAAAGGCGGTCAATCGAGGGAGTGCGATGATCTACAAGCTGAGAACGATCGTCTTCTAGCTGAAATAGCTGAGTTACGACACCAGTTGTCTGGCATGGAGGAAAAGGAATTAACTGGGAGGATGTTGCAACCGAAATCGGTCGAAACAACCACCGTTCCAGAATACATTGACGTATCTGAGTTGCTGCAGAAGCTTAAAGATTGCGAAGGGACTGTGTCTGATTTGAGAGAGCAATTAGCAGAAAAGGACAATCTCGTTAATTCCCTGAAAGAAGGGATGAGTGATCAGAAAGAATTATTGGATGAAATTGCAGCATTGAAAGCGGAACTTCAAAAGAAAGACGACAAGGTATTGAAATAGTTTTAAAATTAAAATAATTTTTGTTCTTTTCCAAGTTTTGTAAGTAAAATTTGTTGAACTGATATTATGAAAAAAGAATAATAATAAACAGAATAAGCATAGCCTCCAAGTTAATGAACAGAAGAAAGGTCTCGTATATATAAAAAGATTAAAATGAGAAGGGAAAAAGAACTCTTAATCCTCAAGGTTTTAATCCGTAATCCCCGAGATTTTAATCCTTAATCCTTAACAGGGTTACCATTGTACTTGTCCGAAATTTTAGTAAATTAAATTTACCCTCTCCCATCTTGTCAAACAATTTCTTAACAGAAAGATAATATAATCTTGTTTCAGATCAGGGAACTATTAGACGAGCTAAGGCAATCAGAAATAAACTTAGAAGGTTTGAACAACTTGAAATCACAATTAGAAGATCTTAAGCCAAAATTATATGATTTAGAATTAGAAAGAAATCAGTTATTAGAAGAGCTTGCCAAACTACAAAACGAACTTGCTCGTTGTAATGCTATGAAAGAAGATCTAGAATCAAAAATAGAATCGTTAAAGAATGACAAAGAAAAATTATTAAAAGATCTAGATGATTCTAGAGATCAAATTTCAGCCCTGTCTAAACAGTTGGACGACGAAAGATCAGCCAGAAGTGCTCTTGAAAATAACCTTAACAATTGTCAGGATGAAATGAAGAAATTGCAAGACGAAAATTCGAACCTGAAGAATCGATTAGACATCGCTGAGAAAGATTTAGAAGCCTCGAAGAAGCTCGCCGAAGAGATGGAAATGTTGAAGACGGAGCTGGAGAAGATGAAGAAGATGAACGAGGAGTTGGCAAATTTGAACGACACCTTGAAGAACGACTACCAGAGCATGAAGCAAGCGTTAGGCAACCTGGAAGCAGAAATTAACAGACTGGAGGAGCAATTGAATAAAACAGCCGAAGAACGGGACGCGTTGTTGAAGGAGAACGAGGACGCGAAGAGGCGGCTCGAAGAAGCGATCGCGAAGAACGAGAGTCTGAAATCCGAACTGGATAATGTCACCGAACAACTCGGCAAATTGAAATTAGAGAAGGATAAACTGGAAGAGATTCTCAACGATACGAGGCTGAAGAACGACGCCCTGAAACGTGATATCCAGGCTTTGGAAAATGACCTTGAACGTGCAAAACAGGAGATGGAGGATCTGAAAAGATCCGAGGAGGCGTTGAAAGCTGCGGACAAGAGCAAAGATTCGGAACTACGGAAATTCGAGGAGGATTTGAAAAATGCGAGAACTGAAAGGGATCGTTTGATGAACGAAAATGGCGATTTGAAGGACAGGAACGCTGAACTGGAAGGAAAACTCAAGGACGTCGTGGACCAGCTGGAACAAATGAAATCGCGGAATACCGATTTACTGGCTGAGATCGATCGGCTGAAAAAGGAGCTCGAGAAATCTGGCCAGGAAATCGATCAATTGAAGTCTGAAATTGCTTCGCTGAAGAACGCCATCGATAAATGTACGGACGAGTTGGACAAACTGCAAACAGAAAATAGGGATCTTAAATCAGAGAATCAGGCTATTAAAAATGAAATCGAGAAGTGCAGAAGTGAAAGAGATAATCTGAAGAATGAGCTCGCAGAGGCAAAAGCACAATTAAGAGACGTCAGTGATGAATTGCAGAAATTGAAAACTAGAAACGATTCGTTGGAGGAAAGTTTGAAAAAATTGACCGATGAAAATGACAATTTGAAATCAGAGGTTGGAGCATTAAGGGACGAGGCGGAGAAGCTGAAGAAAGCAGCCGAGGAACTGCAAGCGGCGGCTACCAGAGGGAAAGATGAAGAAGATCGGTTGAAAAGCGAAATTGATGGGATTAAGCGTGAAAGAGACGATTTCCTGGAAAAATTAAACGAACTGAAGAACGAGTATTCTGCTTTACAAAACGAGGCGAACGAGTTGAAGAAACAATTGAACGATTGCAGGGCGGAAAATGAAAAATTGAAAGCGGAGAAAGATCAGTTAAAAGCGGAGAAAGATCAGTTAAAAGCGGAGAAAGATCAGTTAAAAGCTGAAAACGATAGTTTGAAAGCTGAGTTGAATTCGTGTAAAAAGGAAAATGAAGAACAGAAGACTGAAAATGAGAAATTGCAAAAACAAATTCAATCGTTAAACGACGAATTAAATAAATTAAAGAGTCAATTGGAAAATGCAGAAAATACGATTAAGGATCTTCAGCCTCTGGTTGATCGTTTGCAAAACGAAAATGATCGTTTGAAAAATGATTTAAGAATGTTAGAGAATGAAGCAGCAGATTTGAAGGCAAAATTGCTAAATGAAATGAATGACAATCAAAAAATGCGAAACGATTTGATGATCCTGGAAAATCAAGTAAATGATTTGAATGAGAAACTGAAGGGAATTATAGGGGAAAAGGAAAAATTGGAGCAAGAAAATCAAATGCTAAAGACAAGCTTGTTAGAGGCGGATAATGAATTGTCTCAGGCGAAAGGGGATAGTCAGGACTTGAAATTCGAAATTGATAATTTAAAGAATAAGATTTCTGAATTAGAGGCGAAAATTGCTAAATCAGAGGCGGATGTTGAACATTGGAAATTAGAGAATTGTAAGCTTCAAATGGAAATCGATAAATTGAAAGCTGAACTTGAAAAGGCGTTGAAGGATTTGAATGAGTTACAGGTGAATAAGATTTTTCTTAAATTTGTTAAAAATCAAATTTTACGTTGTAAAATATAAGTCTAATAATTAAAAAATACATTATCTTTTTTGTAGGCTCAAAAAAAAGCACAAGAAGAAGAGTTAGCCCACCTTCGAACTGTAAACGCTGCTCTAGATAAACAGATCTCTGATCTAAATTCACAACTGGATCAGCAAAGAAGTGCCTTTGAATCAGAAAAATCAGCCAAGGAGAAAAATGACTTGGAAATGAAAGCTCTGAAAGAGGAATTAGGAAGCTTGAAAAACGAATTAGAAAAACTTAGAATGGACAATAACAATTGCAACAACGAAATAGAAAATTTACGAAAACAACTTTCAGCGTTGCAAAACGAATTAAATTCTTGCAGAGAAGAAATGTCTGCGTTAAGAGCCACCAATGATGCACTGAAGACTGAATTAAACGGATTGAAAGCTGAGAAACATAATCTACAAGACGAATACGATAAATTGAAAGCCAAGGCGGATAATTTAGAAAACGAAATAGCGGATCTTCGAGAAGGAAGAAAGAAACTCGAAGAAGAATACAGCAAACTTAGAGGAGAGGGTGATGGACAGAAGGTTGAAATTGATAAACTCAAGTCAGACTTGGCAGCCGCAGAGAAGGTGAGGATGGATTTAAAAAATTGTCAAGAAGAAAATGAAAAATTACAAGCGCAAGTGAAGGATTTGGAAAGATGTAGAAACGAAGTTGATAGACTGAATGCTGAATTGGATGATCTGAAGAAGGCACTCGCAGCTGCCGAGGCTAAAGTGAAATCCTTGGACGATCAACTCTCGTCTCTTCGGAATGAAAGAGAGGAATTGATCAATGAACTTAATCATCATCGAGACAATCTTAACAATCTTAAAAATGAAATGGATAAACAGAAAGCTGAGAGGGATTTGGCTGCGAGGGAGTTGGCGGACCTGGAAGAGGAACTGGATGCCCTCAAAGCTACGTTAGATAAGATTCGCGGTGAGAAAGAATCATTGCTGAAGGATAATGAGAAATTGAACGAAGAATTAAAAACAGTGAAAAATGATAATGAAAAGTTGAAAAATGATATTGAAAAGTTGAAAAATGAAATGGAAGAATTGAAGTCAGAATTGAAGTCAAAATTGAAAGAGGCAGAGGATCGGTTAAATGATCTAGAGAATGAGAACAAGAACTTGAAGAATACATTAGCTGAAGTTCAAGCTGCACTAAAAGAGCTCGAAGCTGTGAAAAAACAATTAGAAGATGAATTGGATAAACTGAGAGCAGAGCTCGATAAATTGAAGTCTGCAAACGAAAGACTGAAGGACGAGCTAACAGAAGAGCAGAACAAATCGAATAGATTGAAGGATGATTTGGAGAAACTGAAAACGGACAATGATAAATTGAAGAATGATTATCAAAACTTGAAGGATGATTTAAGTAAATTGAAAAAAGAAAAGGAGGAATTGGAAAAATCTGATGCGGCAGCGAAGAGTGGTATAGACAGGATGAAAAAGGAAAATGAGGAACTGAAAGCTGAAAATGTGAAATTGGCTAAAGAATTGAATACTTGCCGAGAGGAAAATGAAAAATTACGCAGGGAATTGAAAAACTTGAAGGATGATTTGATGAAACTAAAAACGGACAATGATAAACTGAAGAATGATTATCAAAACTTGAAGGGTGATTTAGGTAAATTGAAAAAGGAAAAGGAGGAATTGGAAAAATCTGATGCAGCAGCGAAGAGTGGTATAGACAGGATGAAAAAGGAAAATGAGGAACTGAGAGCTGAGAATGTGAAATTAGCTAACCAATTGAATACTTGCCAAGAGGAAAATGAAAAATTACGTAGGGAATTGGAAAACTTGAAGGTGGTGAATGATGCATTAAAGAAAGCAGCAGGTCTGATAATAATTACTTTTTAACTTAACAATCAATTAATAATTTCTACCTATGTCATTGAAATTTTATTATAAAATAAATACAGTGAAACACGTGGAACCAAAAGAAACGGAAATGGACAAAGATATTGTGGATGACTGTGGGGACTTTATTAAGGCAAACGATTTATTAAACGAAAAATTTCAAAAGCAAAACGAAGGTAAAATTTCAATAAAATCTCTTTTCAATATTAAATTCTTTTCACTTGGTATTTTTCTTATGCAGTACTTTTACAGCTATTTATGAATTACATTAAATAAAACCACTCAGAATGGCTATTTATAATAATTCATCCCTTATAATTTTATTCTTTCAAAAATATGTAGTTAGTCACAGTGTAGCTAGTTACTGAGCTACCGTTATTAAATAATATAAATTTAAACAAATTTATTTCACTCAAAGGATGCAATTGTCGTATTATTTATAGGTGTACAACGTGTTCGAGACTACATCATGTATTTAGAAGGTAAAGTTGAAGAGGAGCCAAAAATGGCTGATCAATTAGAAGAACCTGAAATCGATCCACAAAGAAGGGAAGATATTGCAGATGTGTTAAACAAGTCTAAATTGTTGTCTGAAAATATCAATCACACTGAAAAGGAAATACAACAGATTGGTGATTTGCTGAAAGAACTCAAAGTATGAAATCACATATTTCTAATTACATCATTTGTAATTAGCTATATCCCTATTTTCTCATCCCTGAGCCATAGGGCTCAGAAATCAAGATTTTAGAATCAAATAGAAAACAAAATTTCTATTCGTTACTTATATTGAGCAAAATTATTACTGTGATAATTATATACTAATTAATCATTTTATGATATGCAGGAGCTTGCTGATAAACCATCCGGATTCGATCCTGATTCTTGGCTAAATGTAAGTGCAAAGATAACATTATCTTTACGTAAGTTTATATTCATTTTGCTTCTTTCTTTTTTCAGTCGTTAACATTGACACAGTTAGCAGATCTTCACGACAAGATCTGCCTGTTGACATCGGATATGGTGCAGCATGATAACGGAGCAGTAACATGTGAACCGGCAACACCGACAGCACTAACAGTACCTTGCCCTGGAATAAATCCATTAAGAGCAAATTATAATACTTTGAACCAGAGAATAGCTGCTTTGCAAAAGCAGATCGCAGATAAACAAATAGAGGCAGGTTGGAAGCTGCAAGAGTTGAGACGAGCTCTACGACAGGAACAGGCTAATCTACTTCGAATCTCCGACGAAATGAATTTAGCGAGAAGACGAAATTTAGCTCTTCAGTTCAACATGGACGATCAAATCTAATTCAATTGAAGACATTTCATAAACGAGAAAATTGTATCTTTTAATGTACCATGGTCACCGATGTAAGTTTTCCAAATAAAAAGTGTAATATCTCTTAATTAAATTAAAAACAATTCAAATTGATTGTCAAAGAATCGTCTTACCAATTCGTAGACTTGGTAGACGCAAATCTTTCCAAATTTGAGAGCTTAGAAGTTTAAAAAATTGTCTTCTTCTACAACTCCCTCCGCGGCGATATAACGAGAGTCTACTGTACCCACGTATGATATAAAACCACCGAACCATCGAAAATAATCAGGTTAATTTCATAGATAATTAATTTACGAAAGGTAAACCGGCAAAGGGAAATCGGTACTTTTGAAATTGTCACAGGATCGATTGTCACGCAAAATACACGGACGTCGTAGCTGACCGGACGCTTTACGAGCTTATTCCAATTCCAGCCCAATGGACATACGGCTAAACGGATTTCGTCAATTCATTTACCACTTGATCTAGCCGCACATTTCAATTATATGCGCACTCTTTGTCGGTAGTATCTCGCGTATCATGCGCACCCACACCGACGCAACGGTTCCTGATAAAGTCGTGGGAACGGATGCGGTCCACGGTACAATTGAATTAATCTCGATCGAACAACACGGGCTTCGAAACGAAACAGGAAATCGCGTTGTCGCGCTCAAAATCGAACAAACGCGAACCACGCTAAATCTATTGGCCGTTATTACCTGTTACTGTTTTCCAGAACGTTACACGTTATTGCTTCACCCACGTTTCTTTTTATCTTTTTTTTTTAAAAATATTTTCTCTTCCCTTCCCACTGCATCCCTGTTAATTAGAATGTAACCGGCGCCGTACGATTAAATTACTCGAGCAGAAATAATTTATACGATTCGCGAAACTGCCCGGTCATTTAGAAACTGAGTTTACAATCCTTCCAGGGATAATCTGGACTTTATAGGGCTGGAAAAGTCGGTCGTTCGCGAGTTGTTTACGAGTGGTTTGAAAATGAACTAATCTATTTTTCAAAAGAATTATTAAAGGGAGAAATATATTAGGTCAGTGATGGAAGTTCCAAAGTTCCAAAATTTTAATATGTATAAGAAAAGATCCTCCTTCCAAAAGATAAACCGAATGTAAGGTTTGAGTAAATTTTCAAGAATTTTTAACTGATCTCCGCAAAGCGATCATGTGTATTCAGTTTACCCTAACAATTATTTCATCTTTCCAAATATCACGCGAAACGATGAACCCTTGGAAAAATGAACATAACGATTGAGATCTTAAATTTATCTTTCGAACTGCGTGCTACGTATTCCTCTAGACTGCGATAACGCTTTCTGCGGTCAAAGAGAGTCGAAAAATAGCGGATACAAGTCACGTTATGTCTGCTTTGTCGATGAACTGGGAGCATGCCAATGTTAACGGTCGATAGGCTATTCCATTTGGTATTCTTTTCGATACAGCCATCGAAAGAGGAAAAAGGACACTGAGAAAAGCTAACGTCTGTATCTCAGACTGGAAAGATTGTTTCTATTGATACACGGATACGTATCTTTTAAAAATTTCTAAGAAAAACTTCTCGATCCACCGATTCGGTCAGAATTCGATCAGAATAAAAAATTTCAAGATTGTTCATAATTTAGGCGAAATAATTGAAATGACGAAAAATTATTGTCTATCTTTCGGAGTCTCTTTCAAATCATTTACTATGAATATATCAATTTACAAATATAAAATGAAATAAATAAAATAAATGTTACTATTGTGTAATCAAATAATATACGTAGTGTATTACATTGTTATGATTGTTCATTGTGATAATTTTATAAGTGTAAAGAAACAATGACATCTGATACGATCAGAGATGTTACGTTACCAAATGGAATATGGGATACTAATGCGGATGGCAGTAGCAAGGTTTAATACTACTTGTGCAGGTGACAGAAAGAAAAATCTTGATACACCTGTCAAAATGTTCCTCTTACTTGCATTCTGTGTATTACCATGGGATATTGTACAAGTAAGTAGTAAAATATTTCTTGTCTTATTATCATTTTGTGTATAGAATTTATATATTTGAATTTCTTTTTAAATATTAATCACCTGTGAGCGGAAAAGTAAATTAATCCTAGGAATTAATCTAATTTTAATTTAATTTTGTATTTCATATTACTTTCGTTTTCTAAATTTTGCATAATTCCTTTAAAAATTAATATACTTGTATATGCTTCGTTTGAGTCTAATTATTATCAAAATTACTAATTTTTCAATTTCTCATTTCCAGTAAACTATTCTCTTGTTAATACAAAACTATATCATACGACCCTTATTATCAGTCCCAAACTTATCTCTGTGAAAATTTTCATTTAATTTAAATTATTTATTCTTGATACAAGGCAAATCTCGACATAATATTTGATGACGCCGAATGTCCAATCACTAATGACGAGTACATAAAACACGACTCGTGTCAACTTGAAGTGAATGACGATAGCGAATATGGGACCAGTTTATCCACACATTTTGAAATCATCAAAGACTTTCCCGATGATGTCAAAGTACGTATTTACATTATTTTCAATGAGATTAATATACAGAGTCATTAAGGGTATTTTTATTAGAACCTCTCTCCCTAAGATATCTTTTGAACTAATTAATTTTCAACCCAAGTACCTTAATAGTTTTATATAATGATAATGATTTTAAAAATGCAACGATTGACGTTTAGAAAATTATACAATTCCATTTTAAAAAACGAAGTGGACTTAAAATCTTTGAAACTCTATTCCACACGTTATTATAACGTATTATTATAACTAGCAATTGTTATTGTTAAATTTGTTACAGGCTGCGGCCAAAGTGTATGGAATTCACATGGGCGAGTACACGAATGATATTGGACTTCACATAGAAACGAACTTTTGCGAAGTGGCAAAAGGACCTCACACTATAGCAGCCCCGATGATAAAAGCGGTCGGCATGACTTCTGATAACTGTCCTCCAAAAACGGTATATAATAAGGGTATGCGGGTACCCGAAACGGGCTCGGCCGGGTTCTCGAACTATACGAATATTCGGGCTACCTAAACCATAATTCATATAATTCAAGAACCACCCCAAGTACCCCTGACTTTTTTCGACCCGATCCGACTCGACTTTTCGGGTACCCGCACACTCTAATATCTAACCGACTTATTCGGACATGAACTTATTCAAATGTTCATATTTAATTTGATATTACATAAATTAATTATTGGATTCATTACGTTACAGGGAGTCTATGGAACAGAAAACTTTGTACTTAATAACGAAGACGGTTTGCCAGAGACATTTCCTATTGGAAAATATTTAATAAATATTACGCTCCTGAACGACGCAGGTATACTTGCCAATTTTGACATTTATATAACAGTAGTGTAAATAATTTTGTAATGATGCACTAATCTAAAATTTCTATTAATTACTCACATATATACGTTTACCGAAAATCTTTAAACTAAAAAATAATTTGCAAGATATTAAATCGTTGTAATTTTCTTTTTCCAAAAATTGTTCCTATTTTTGTTTTGTTAATACGGTGTACAAAAGCATAACTAAAAAAGGAATTACCGCAATCATTTCCTTGATGGTGAAAATATTTAAAGTAAAAAGAGATTGTTATACAAAATTTACAGGATGCGTGTGTAGGTTTTATCCGAATTAAAAATTTATTTCGTGCAATTAGAGATGATTCGATAAAATATTATTTATAGATATAGCAGACGTAATCTCTACCAAAGTGGTCCGGTTCGCGCGTTATAAATGATACTTTATTACAACAGTGCGCAATTGGACGAAGTAAATTCGGTAAAATATTTTCTACTTGTTATACGAAACAGTATTTTATCGAAATGGGGGTACTAGCGTTGAAAATAATCTTCCTTTCGCGGTCATGCCTCTTTATAAGTATCAAATGTATGCAAATAAAATCTTTTATGATCCTTTAGTACCCTTCATTAAAATGGCAATAAAAAGTTCACGTGTGTAGCGCGCGCGTAAAAACGAAACATAATTAAGTCAATTAACTATGCAATAAAGAATCATAAAATCGATACTTTTCTTTAAAAATCATCCAATTCACTTTTTGTTGAGGCATTCGTTTCTAAAAGCACCGAATTAATTTTACGTGGTAAATTTTTCAATAAAAATCTATCGATTTGTTTTTCAATGCAGTATTTTAGGAGGTGTCGAAAAATATTCAATCCGTGTAAAAAATGTTTTCAAATTAAATTCCTACCAGTGGGGTTAATAAATTTTAACTGGTTAAAAAATGCATCGAATCTACTTTCACCTAGAGTTCCCTGTGAAAGAAAAAACAAAAAGTTATTTTATGCATGAAGTGTATCACCGAAGTTTATTGCCAATTCCATCTCGTTCGCGCCTTTTCCCGGGAAAAGCGTTCGCGAATTTTCATTTGAAAATTTCACGGGTGTGTTTTTTGTTCGAAGGCCGACCGGCAATGGGAACGAATTAAATGACAATGCATATTAATTAACTGTTTGAAAAGGGAGCTACGTTAACGATTCGCAGTAAAGTCAGCCATGCCGGGTGGCGAACAAGGGGCAATTAGAGAAAATCAATGTTGCACAACACGTTTGCACGTTTCATTTAATAATGATGCTTGAGTGCTACTCGATTCGTCCTTTAACTGCATAACTAACCGTGGGAACGGAACGAATTGGAGGCGATCAAAAATCAATTTTCCTGATTTTGTGAATGAAGAAGATACAATCAGATATGATAAATTGATCATTTATGCTTTGTATCAATTCAAGAGAATCTTCGAAAAGAAATTAAGGCACGGGCAACGAAGGATAAGTCCATTAACCTCTTGAGGGCAGCACGCGTCTGTATGTACGCACGTCTACCGTCCTTAAGAGGTTAAGGGAACAAGAGCTATACCATGTTTATAATCAAATCCTTTGTTAAAGAGATAAAGATGTATAACAAGGTATAACGATGTTAACTGAATTTACTTAATTGTGTAATCATTGTAATTGACATTCGTAATATCCTGTACATATATATATATATATCTATTTTAATATAATGTACCCGTACTGCGGTAAATTACGTATTATGTATGTACTTACAATTAGTCGTTCTGTAGTGCGCATCTTGGCTAATTTCAGTAAACACGTCTCATTTAACACTGTCTCACTACTATACACTTTCCACTCCGACGATCACATATACGGTAAACAAAAATTTGCGAATAAAGAAAATGCGCTACCCCTACGACGCGGAAGAGTATACTAAATAAAGGGCCACTGTGTAAATGCGCGGGACTATATTGCGCATGCGCATAGGTAGCGCGCTACAACCAATCAGAACTGAGATGCGCAGAACGACTGAAAACTCATTTGAACATACTGATTAATGTACTAATATAGGCAAATCTGATATATTTGAAAGATTAAATATAAATAATATGCGCATTTCAGAATTTATGTTTTGTTTTTAATTCTGTATAAATATCAATGACTAATAATTGTTATACTGACGTTGATTGATATTAAAACACACCTACTATCGATGAAAAATACAGTAAAACTATAAGAAAAATTAAATTTTGATGTTACACAAAGTGACTAAAAATGTAATAAAGAAGATACGAGGAACAAAAATGAAAAACTAAAGTAGCACGTATACGCCAGCAGATGTGTTTTATCGTGCACTTCACATATGGTGGGACGTATAAACGCATTTTAATCGTAGGAAATCATGGTAATTAGAAAATGTTAGCTCACCTAGCATTTTCCTACCATTTTTATAATTAATATTCTACTTCCTAGAAAATGGATATTAGATGTATATTTATAGAGAATCATAATATACTGAAAACAATGATTTTCCATTTTTGTAATATATCAGTGAATCAAAGATAAAGATATTCTGGTATTTCCTCTTTGAACATAACGGTTTTCTCGTCTAAAGTAGTACTATAATTTTCATATAATAATTCCAATAACAATTGATAAATCTAAACTAGAATTTAAATTTCGACTAATAGATCATTGCAACTCAATTTCCTAATGACCATTAATGCAGCACTATCTCAAGTACTTTCTATCGTTGGACATTCGAATAATTATCTCGAGTAAATTAATGTTTTTCTGGTGTAATATATAGATAACTTAACCGTACAAAAGCTATCGGTCAACTGAGATATACCGATAAAAACAACCATAAAAATGTACTGAATAAGAACACTGCATATAAATGAAGTCATAGCCCTGTTATCATGCTTATGAATGATGTATTGAAAATTAATTGATACATCACTGTTAATCTGTGAAATATCCACAAATAGATTCGACTTTAGATTATTATCCTTGGATATGTTTTCTAAGTTTATAAAACAACTATTATATAAGAGATTAATCGCTACAACAAACTATTATGGAACAATCAAGTATATGCAGTGCAACACTGAAAGACTATCAATACACATCTATAAATAAAACAAGTTCTTTACGTAATTAAAAACATCTACGGAAGAATAGAACTGTTTCTACCGAATCATTCAAGCAAGATACAAGTGTGTAAACGCTAGATAACCTTAAGTTGCAAGTCACGCTATCTGCTCCTCGAAATACAAAAACGATGCGTCGAAGAGAATGCTTATACATTTAGTGGGAACCCGTGGAACATAACAGAGCAGAAGTTGAATTACGTAATAATTCCATAGCTCGGCGGTGTTCGAGAAAATATTACTCAGTGTTTCGTTAAACTCAGTGCTGAATTCTCATTTGAAATTGCTAAGATGTCTTGGCCACTGTTCGAGGCCGCTGGACTTCTAGCTGCGATTTTGTTTTTGTTGTACTATTACTCCACGTCCGTTTTACAATACTGGGAGAAACGAGGCGTGATAGGACCAAAACCTATCCTATTTTTGGGCAATTTTAAGGATATGTTTCTTGGAAAGAGCTCATTCAACGATTGCATCGTCAAAGCCTATTACGAATTTAAGGATGAACCACTGATTGGAGTGTTTAGTGGTCACATTCCAATTTTAATTGTGAGGGATCCGGATTTAATGAAGGATGTTCTTATTAAGGATTTTTCGAAGTTCGTCGATAGGATGACAAAACCTAACGAGGTACGTTTAGATCAACGATTCTTTAAGAATCCTTGAAGAAAATGGCAATATAAGGGGAGCAGCTATTCTCAAGCTCTTAATTTTGACAATATTAAAAATAATTTAGAAGCAAAATTATGTAATTTTTAATTATCTAATATCAATTAAGACAGTCTGGAGCTTCTTCAAACAAGTAAATCAAGATGTCTTCTTAATACTTTTATTTATCCTGATTTAAAAAAATCTCGAATGAGGATGCTAAAGCCTACGAATAATTCACTCTAATGTTATTATTTACAGGTTGAGCCATTTTCATTACACCTCTTCAGGCTCGATGGAAAAAGATGGAAACCCTTAAGAACCCGATTTTCACCCGTTTTCAGTTCAGGAAAACTGAAGGAAATGTTTCACTTGATCCTGGAATGTGGGAACCACTTCGAGAAATACCTGGACACAATGGTCTCAAAAGATGGCAATAAAGAGGCAATAATCGACTGTCGTGATATTTCTGCAAAATTCACTACCGATGTGATCGGTTCCTGTGCGTTTGGGATCGAAATGAACGCGCTGGCAGCTGAGAACAGCGAATTTCGTGAAATGGGCAAACGTGTATTCCAAACGTCTTGGAAATCTGTCCTTAGGGACAGATTGCGAGAATATCCATTTCTGTTTAAGATCTTCGGACGATTCGTTCTCGATTATGAAATCGTTGACTTTTTCACGAGAATCACCAAAGAGAGTATAGATTATAGGATAAAGCATAATGTTCATAGACATGATTTCATTGACGTTCTGGTTGACTTGAAACAAAACCCAGGGAAAATTGAACTTGAAAGTAAGCAGTTTAGAGCATTTACTCTATGCAAATTACAAAATGATGCAGGATAAAGCGTAATTAATTTATTTGTACAGATTTTAGTGACTTGTTCTTGACTGCGCAAGCCTTCGTATTCTTTGCTGCTGGTTTCGAAACTTCCTCGGTAACGATCACTAATGCCTTATACGAGCTCGCGTTAAATCCATCGATTCAAGAGAAAGTTCGAACAGAAGTTAAGAACGTTCTAAAACGCAATAATGGAGAAATCACGTATGATAGTATAAAGGAAATGAAATATTTGGATGCGGTATTTCAAGGTATTACCCTTTAGTGTTTAGTAGAGAGTAATTCGACTAAGAGTGAGGATAGTGTCAATTTGGAGGGCGCACGGCGCTAAAAAATAATATCCACTCCCCAATAGCCACCACCCTCCAAATGGCGCGGGGTATGGATGATGTGAACTCCTAGGCTTGGCCAATCAAGTATCGGGTACTTGACTTTGCCTCAGCCTAAGGAATTCTCTTGGGTCGAAAAAGCTAACCCGAGTGGGATATCAACTACACCCACCAGGGGCTTTACACCCGTTGGCTAAGAGTGAGATGGTAACTGAGATGATTCTGAGTAACTTTATTCTTTACTAAAATACTCGTTAAGGCTTAGTTTTTAAATTATTGATGAAAATATACCGACCAATCATAGCGCGCATAGCGCGCATAACCACGAGGGCGTCGGCTATGAACCGCACCCGACCGTGGCCGCAAGCAAACTACTTACTCGACAGCGCGTCGGTTCGTAGCCGACACTCCTGCGCCCGCGCCTGCGCATTACGCGTGCTCTGATTGCTCAGTGTTTTTCTGTAATAATTCAAAAACCTGGCCTTATTGAGCGTTCTGGTAAAGGAAAAAGTTGTTCAGAATTAGCTCAGCAATCATCCTACATGAAGTGTGAATAATATTTATATCTTTTGCTTTTTATAGAAACATTAAGAAAATACCCAGTGGTATTATGGTTATCCAGAAAAGCAACATCAAATTACACATTTTCGGGTACAAAAGTGAACATTGAAAAGGGTCAACTTGTAATTTTGCCTGTTTTCGCTATTCAGCGTGATCCAGATATTTTCCCAGACCCGGAAATCTTTGATCCTACCCGATCTACGGATGAGAATGCTAAAACCAGACATCCAATGTTATTTTTACCATTCGGAGATGGTCCAAGAAATTGCATTGGTAAGACATTTAATTAAGTTCAATTAATTCAGAGATATATTTTTTCATTTGTTTTTTCTTCAGGTGCAAGGTTCGCCAAGATTCAATCAAAGATAGCTATGATCAAATTTTTATCAAATTTTAAAGTTGATGTTTGTGAACAAACTGTTAAAACGTACCAAATAGATAAAAAGTCATTATTACTTTTACAACCATCACACGAAGTTAATCTGAGAATAACAAAAATTTAGACCTAACAACATGAAAAGAGGAATATAAGCTAGTCAGAGAATTGTCTTGTTCTGATTGTCAAAATTCTGATTGTGCCAAGGACGAAATGTAAAAAAATACATTTACAGCAAAAACTATTTCAAAATTAGTTGAGGAGCATGGAAAAATTATTTTGTGATTTTTGTACATTGTTAATAAATAAAAGAGAAGTCTTTATAATTATATATTCTACAGTTTCATTATTACTTCACCATCAAATATTGCACCCAGACACGAAGCTGTCATCGAGTTCCTTAATTATCTTTAAAATTCTAATAGCAAGACAGCAATGTCTGTTACAAATGCAACACTGGTGACGAAAAATGGACAACATGCAATTATGTCTTGAATAAATGAACTTACCACCAGGCTAAATACTTGGACTATACTATCTGTAATTCATCCCTTCCTAGCAGAATGGAATACCCTGTTTCGGGCATGGTAGTAACCCTAAGAGATTGCGCCTGTTGATGGCATACACTGTTGTAGAAAGGGCAGCAAGGTTCTACTCGCCTACTTTACTTCAGTATAGATGGCACTAAAAAAAAAACTCAGTCAGTAAGTTGTCGAGTAGTTTCCGCCGTTTTCGTATAGATGGCGCCATGATCGAATTTAAAACCTTTTATCGGCGGGAGAATTTGAATTAATATTTATGTTGTTCATATTCCTTAATTACATACTGAATTTTATGAAATTGAATAATGAAAAATTATACCGGGACAAGAATCAAAATTACATTTTTCTGTTTACATAATAAAGAGTAAATTTATACAATCAATTACAGTATCATATAAATAGTAACAACTATGCGCAAATTACAAGTATTACAATATTATTATGAGTGTAGTAAAAAACATTCTCTGTGCTATACTACACTTACATGGTACTTATCAGTAATATTTACAATGCTCCACACTAAGCGCAATTTCTCCTCTTTCCGTAGGAGAAAAACACCATTAATGAAGCTTAACATGTTCAAATATTTTGTGGAACGTGAGACGTGGAACATGTTCCACAAATTGTAAAACGTCGAGACATTTATTTTTTTTTGATTAGACAGTTCATAGAAAATTAGGATACCTATCACAGTCCATGGACACACATGTATATGAAAAATATATTAATAGTTTAAATCTCTGTTTCAAATTTATAAGTCTACAAAAAAAGACTTTAAAAAACAATTTCATTGTTTTCTACAATTATTTTCATGTTCTTTGTATCGTCTTAATTAATATGTTTCAATTTGTCCATGTACAGTGCTAGAAGATGTGTTTTTTTGTTTGGTCAGAAGTACAAACGACCGTTTCATGGAAGTTAAGACAATAGATGACGTCAAAAATCTTAAGAATCTAGTATAAGTTAAAAATTGATATAGAAAGAGCTACCAGAGCTCTCCACAATTATTCACGAAAACGCCCTTTTAGTGCAAAACGAACGATTACAAAAATATGAAGAACTTCTTTCTTTTATATCAAAGATATTAATGGTCCTTTCTCTGTAAAGGCACATTTGAATAGATATTGTACGCAAGAGTCAATGAGGCAAGAATTTCACTAAATAGATTAAGTCCTTGTAAAAATCTGACCAACTTTTCTTTCTTTACAATCTTTCTTATTCTCTTGTTTTCCCTTAAATATAAAGGAGAAAAGAAAATGTACTTTCTCTTTATTCTGTTCTTTTATAAGAAAAGAGCATTGTTAGAAGTTATTAAGAAAGATTCCAAGTAGTATAATTTGTTATTACAAGGACCTTAAGTGTAATTGACATTTGTATTTAATTAAAAAATTTCTTTTCATTAACTTTGATTTTAAGTGACATATATACTTTTAAATCCATAATCTTAATTTTTAGTTGATTATAGCTAAGTATATTTATTGGCAATATCTTTTAGCAAGAATAATATTGAATTCGAGCACTAATAAGATCTTTTTCTGAAACTCATCTTAAGTTCAAAAATTCAATTTCTAAAAGCTGACATTTTTGTTTCAAAATTTAATCTTCCTCTGAAAATATGAAAATCAAAAGAAAATCACAACTATTATTTGTAATTGACCAAGTAGTTGAACCAAGTAGTTTTTAAACCTTTTCTAATCCACCAAAAATATATGTTTTAGGCAATGATATTGTTTTTCTAATGAACATACTAGAAGTATTACTTGAATCTTGTAATAAGTTCATGTAAACAAACTGCTCACAGAGCTGAAACATTTACAAATATTTGTTGTATATTATAAATAAAATGTAATACTCATTAGAGTATTACAATATATACTTCTTAAAAATAGTTACTATACACCCAACAAATTGCAACATAGAAAATAGTGATTTTCATTTATACCAATATTCTATCCCTTATAAGACATGTAATGAATCTCACAAACGTTCACAATGTTGAAAAATTAAATGTTCTACGGAATTTTTATAATGCAAATTACACATACGGTTTTTACAACTGAATATTTCAATGAATATCTCAAAACTACGATTAATTATATCTTTAAAATGTCAGCAATTACAATAAGCGTATAATCAAAGAGATATAAAAGAGGTAACAGTAATGTAACGCTAATAAACTATGGTTCTCTATATCTATTTTATACTACCTATACATTATTCAGAACAAAGATGGTTTTGATTATTTATGCGTATCTTACTTTTCTATTGTATTTTCATTCAACCTCTTTCCTATACTTCACTATGATATGCTTATGCTATTAAGAAAAGAAAGTAGAAACGTAATAAGATACATTACAGTACCGTAAAGGTGATACATAAAGGCAACATAGTACCGTATAGACGATAGTCATAAACAGTTATTGCAATTTACATGTATAAATTAAAACCGCAATGATGAAAACCATGGCAGTTAAATTAAAGCTTGGATAAGAAATATATAGTTAATGTTAATTTCTGAAATTAACATTAAATAATTACTTCTTTCGTTATTGAGAGCCATAAATTGTGTTCATTGTCGTATGTTCTAAACATATTTGTCATAGGATAAGATAAAATGGCACAAATTTCATTGTACATATTTTCATTTCTTATAAAAGATGTAGAACACTGGAAACGTTAATATCTTTTCTTGTTCTTCAAAAGTTCAATTTCATTTGCCTTCCTGAGACAAGTTCGAATTTACATAAATTAACGTTCAATACGGTATTAAATACGGTACATCGTTAATATGCAATTGCAGTTGCTTAAAATGAAACTGACAATGTACATTTTCTTTACAATAATTTGTGTGGTTCTATTGGCACATGGCTAATACAAATTTTGAATTTCACTTGAAAATATGTTTTCTGGCCTTTACACATAAGTACCTTTTACAGTTTCATTCATTTAGGGAGTGTTGCAAACATACTCTTCCCATTAGCGTTCATAAAATTTTCTACTTTCACATAAATCTCTCATTGACACCAAAGAAAATGATACAGTATAGGTATGCATGCGTTGTACTTCAAAGATCGGATTTGTCCTGCATAACTTCCTCCGAACAATTTCTGCAGGATAAACAAAGTCACGTGAAAAATACTATAAGAACCCATAAAATGAAAATAATTGCACCAACTCATACACATATAAAAATCAAGTACACTTTCAATTTCATACCTTGCATTGACTTTAGCAATAAATTAATTTACAAATGTAATATAAACAGAGTTGGTGAAGAGACTTATATAAAATAAATATTGATGATAATAAAGACATTAAGAATAAATTTTAATATGATACATCCGAAAGAGTAGCAAGCAAGCTTGTCTTGAAATATACTAATGTAAAGAATCAAAGTCTAAGAGAATTAAATAAATATGCATTAGTTAGAAGCTAAGTATTAAATTAATTTTTGTCATTTGTTAATATTCTAATTAATACTATAGGCACTAATTAGAACAATTTGTAGTGTTACTGTGATAGTATTGAAATTAGGTACTTATGAATAGTATTAATTTCAAAAGGGAAAACAATTGTAAACTTTTGATATAACACAAACTATAAGAAACAGTATAGGTGAATTTCTTTTTTCACAAAATTATACACATACGAACTATACTAACAAGCGACATTATACCTTCGACTGAAAGTAATTATTAATACAACAGTGCATTTGCAAATTTCATATGTTATTATCAGCTCTCTTCAATCAAAATGAGTATTCTTTTTGATCAATAATCCATAACACGTTACAACGAATCAATCGTCAATTTTCATCCAAGCTTTTCCAAAGCAATGAATTTCTTCTAAGTACAGTAATAATAAATTTTATACTATTACTAAATATACTTGCAACTAGAATTTTTATACCAGTCTTTGTATAATCGTTTAAAATTTTACACAGGAACATATTGGTACATATTTACCAACATGTGAGATGTATTTGTTACGTATATGGATCTTACATGTATTGTAAATGCTGCCTTTGATGAAACAATAAACACAAAATGATGAAAAAGGTTTAAGGCACATGAATAATGGAAGAATTGACCAAATATGATTACGCAACAACAGCAAATGAGAAAAAAATGGTAGCTTCTAATATACTAATTACAACCTTCTTAATGAAGCCATACTGAGGGAACTGCATTTGGCCTTTCGTGTCGGTTGAACCGACATAGGTGCTACTAGAACATCATCTCTAGATGGCGAGCCTGAACCACCATTACCCAGCTCCTGGAAAGATACACGAATATCTATTTATCCTACTCATATATACACAAACAAAATCACTTAAGACACACAAGTAACATTTAGTTTGCTAGCAAAGAACAGAAAGAACAACTAATGTACCATGCAAGTTCATAGGTGTATTGAAGAAAAAAATGCTTATACATGTGGTTTTTCTCAGTGCAAATATATTTTACAAAAAAGTAACGTAAAGAAAAGTAAGAAAATAACAAAAAGGGATCCAGCCTTGAATTTATAAATGAAAACAAAAATTAAAAAATTTTTTAAAAGTTTGCTATTACAAAACATCTTTATAAGGGGGCGAAGTAACTTTATAAAAATATCAATGCTTTAACATTTGTAGAATCTACTTCTGAAAATATCGCCCTAATTATTAACAAGATAAATTTAGAGTTCTGTATTTAATTTGTGACGCGAAGTATTTTGATCCAGTCGAAACACTGTGTGACGTCATTCTCCTAAAATCAATGTCATCTATTGAAAAAATATGATTCTATTT